AGATATTCAAGCTGCTGTATCTCGAGAACCAGGAGCTCGTTCTCGCTGAAATTTCGAATATTGTATCAGGAGCACATGACAATCTAGGAGGTGGCACGACAATGCCCCGGCTGCTGCCGTTCTCCTGTTACAGAGGTAAGTCGAAAGAAATTCAAGCTGTAATATCTCGAGAACCAGGAACTCGTTCTCGCTGAAATTTCGAATATTGTATCAGGTGCACATGACAATCTAGGAGGTGGCACGACAAAGCCCCGCCTACTACCATTCTCCTGTTACAGAGGTAAGTCGAAAGAAATTCAAGCTGTAACATCTCGAGAACCATAGGCTCGTTCTCGCTGAAATTTCGAATATCATATCAGGAGCACATGACAATCTAGGAGGTGGCACGACAATGCCCCGGCTACTGTCGTTCTCCTGTTACAGAGGTAATTCGAAAGAAATTCAAGCTGCTGTATCTCGAGAACCAGGAGCTCTTTCTTCCTGAAATTTCGAATATTGTATCAGGAGCACATGACAATCTAGGAGGTGGCACGACAATGCCCCGCCCACTGCCGCTCTCTTGTTACAGAGGTAACTCGAAAGAAATTCAAGCTGCCATATCTCGATAACCAGAAGCTCCTTCTCGCTAATGTTTCGACTTTTGTATCAGGAGCAGATGACAATCGAGGAGGTGGCACGACACGGTTATTAGTCTGGCGTGTCTTCTAATACGGAGGTTTCACGAATTTACTTCAATCGGGTACGATATGTTACTTGTGGCTATATGTTTTTTATTAGGAGAGGATTTTACTCTATTGGTTTTTCTAATGATTTACTTATGAACTAATTATTCCTACTGTCCAGTTTATATCGTAAAGTAGAGTATCAAAGGGAATTTGCTCGATATAAACTGAACTGTAGGTCGCGTAGTTCTTAGCTTGATATCGTTTTAGAAACATTGAAGTTTGTAAAACGCTATCAATTACCAGGTCTCACCACGAGGAGGTGACTACGCACGAGACCCGCCCGGGCCCTAGTCCCATCCACCCTCCATTACATTCAATCATCTCGGTATTCAACTTAATGAATACCGAGTGTTTTATTCTACTTGGCCCGGGTTTACGCAAAAAGGAGATAGACGTTCCATAGTTCAATCTCAAACTTAAGTCTAAATCTTAACTCTAAAGCGCATCTATGAAATTGAACTATGGAACTCTGTCTTCCGAACAACGATCGCACAATTATACAATAACGCAATACATACAATCATACAATACATACGAATACAATTTATCGCAATCACTCGTAGCCTTTCACACTAACCACACACTTGTCTAACATGAAAGTTACACAATAATTGTACAATAATTCGCAGCCCTAAAACAGCGCATTTTATATCAAAGACACGTTTATCGAACTTTGAACGAAATAAGGAATACGAAACTATCGACACGCTTCAATATCGTGCTTCGCAAAGGATATAACGCGAAATGAAATCAGTGTACTAGAGTAGAGATACCAACTTTCGTTGCCGGTGTGCCAAATCGAGGTTCGAGCACTTAGAGGCAAGTAGTCCAGCGCAACCCCCGACGACACAGTGGGGTTCCGAAGAACCGCTGAGTCGTATTACAAAGGAACTAGACCACAAGAACCTCACCTCGTCCATACGGACGAGGCTGCAGTTCCCCAATCTGACACTAACAGCGAAAGTTGGTATCTCCACTCTGGTGCAATATCAGTAACGATAATAACAACGAACGAAAGAAGAGAGGAGAGGAGGGATTCCTAATTTCATCTCGAGTTAGATGAACGCGTCTTTGTACAGAATGCGCTCACAGTGAATTTACAAATGTTAACTATCTTATAATTAACTAAAACTAAACGCACGCAACTTAAAGCTAAGACGCACGCATTCCACGATGTCTTGCGAGATCCCCCGTCGTCTATCGGTGGCTTAATAGTTATACTTATCAACTAATTGTCCACACAACAATCATTCAATCATACAATACATACAATCATACAATACATATAATCATACAATACATACGATACATAGAATCATGCAATCATACAATCATACGATACATACAATATATACAGTACATACAATCACACAATCACACAATCATACAATACATACAATACATACAATGCATACAATACATACAATACATACAATACATACATTCATACAATACATAACTAAAATTAAGACGCACGCAACTTAAAATTAAGACGCACGCATCCCACGATGTCTTTGCGAAATCCCTCGTCGTCCATCGGTGGCCCGCTGGGGGCCCAATAGTTTACTTATCAACTAATTGTACCTACAGTTCAGTTTAAACCGTGGAATAACGAAAGGAAAGAAATTTGCACGGTCTAAATTGAACTGTAGGTTGCGTAGTTCTTAGCTTGATATCGTTTTACAAACAGTAGTTTCACAAACTTTAATGTTTTTAAAACGATATCAATTACCAAGACCCACCACGTGGAGGTGACTACGCACGGGTCTCATTGTAATGTATTGTAAATTAGTACTGTTTTATATATTTATGACACGAGTATTGAATTTAAGTAATTTGTTGGAAAAAGAAAAGGTATTCATAAAATGAGGCACAGTTGTTTGATTAATTTAATGACTAATTTAAGATATTGAATAAATATTCATGTTTGACAAATTAATACTAAAGACTAAATTATTTTCCTCATTATAGATTCAAAAAGAAATACAGAAAGTTTCAAATAATATTTAAATAGCAATAGTATTGTTATAATAATATATCTATGTACATGCAGAAATATAACGTTATATTATGTTAATTATTAAAGCATGGTTACTATCAAAATATATCTTGACTACGATACAAGTCATGGCAATTGATCTCGTACTAAAGTTCAAATAATCATGATGATAATGAAAATAATTAAATAATTATGAAAGTAATTAAAATAATTTGTTAATGATGCGAAACAATTAATTAAAATTTCTTAGATATGTTTTAATGGTTCGGTAACTACAAATGATTAATTAAAAATTTTAAATAGTACTTAGAAATGTTATAGAAATGAATTTATTGTTTTATTGTTGCAAGTAAATTATTAGAAATATTACACAACGTTTAAACAAATAGAATATTCAGAAATATTATTTGGAAATTTACTCCTAAAATTTTCGTCGGTGCGTACGCGACGAAACGTCGATTTATACTGAGCTCTTATTTCCGTATCGACCGAAATATACCTGCGTTAATCGTTCGACGAAAAACAGTTTATTAAAATTTCGTAGAAACGTATTAGTGACTCGATCGCTACAAATGATCAATTTTAAATAGTTGTTGGAAATGTTATAAAAGAGAATTCATTGTTTAACTATCACAAATAAATTATTAGAAATATTAGATAATGTTTAAACAATTATAAAGCAGAATTTATTGTTTAATTGTTGCAAGTAAATTGTTAGAAATATTAGATAATGTTTAAACTGTTATAAAAGAGAATATATTCTTTAATTGTTGCAAGTAAATTATTAGAAATATTAGATAATGTTTAATCAAATAAGATATTCAGAAATATTATTTGAAAATTTACTTCTAAAATTTTCGTCGGTGCGTACGCGACGAAACGTCGATTTATACTGAGCTCTTATTTCCGTATCGACCGAAATATACCTGCGTTAATCGATCGACGAAGAACAGTTTATTAAAATTTCGCAGAAACATATTAGTGACTCGATCGCTACAAATGATAGATTAAAAATTTTAAATAGTTGATGGAAATGTTATAAAAGGGAATTTGTTGTTTAATTATTACAAATAAATTATTACAAATATTAGATAATGTTTAAACAATTATAAAAGTGAATTTATTATTTAATTATTGCAAGTAAATTATTAGGAATATTAAATAAGGTTTAAACAATTAGAATATTCAGAAATATTATTTGAAAATTTACTTCTAAAATTTGGTCGAGGTGCACATGGACGGAAGTTTAATTGGTAATGAGTTTCCGTACCGCTCAAAGTTAATGTAATGTTTTGGTCGACAGTGATCAGAAACAATTGATAATTTTTTAGTATTTCGAAGAACAGTTTTTTTATTATACTAATCAATAATTTAATAGTTTTTACATTTTTATCGCAAAATTGCTCTTTCATGATTATGTTACAATGTTAAATGTAATAATTTATTAAATTTTTATTGGCTAAAATTAAATTTACATGATATCAATTTTTATATTATAACTGCATTGATATGTATATTAAATAGAAATTTATGTAGAGAAAAGTTATGTAGTCAAAAATCAAGTTAAGCAGTCATCATCGTTTCAGAGTAACACATAAGCGCAACGTATAAAAATTTTTCGCTCGTTTATTGTTTCGGACAGGAATAAATATCTAACTATCTTTTCCGTTATTGCAAATAAAATAATTTAATTATTATAAATGAATTACTGAATCTATAAAATAATGTTTGGGAATTCAATCGCTGATTCAAATGTTATAAGTAAATAGTTAAAATTGTTAATATACAAAAATATCATTGAAATGCATTATTTTACAGTTTGAATAATTCATTTAAAACAATTAAATTATTTCTACACTATTTATAGACATTGTTTAATAATTTTTACAACTATTACATTACGATTAAACAATTAAATTAATCATTTCATTTAATAAGTCAAAGTCATTATTTTCTTAAGTACATTGTTCAAGATTCTTATACATTATTGGTTAAAAATTTTAAATAACACTTAGAAACATTACAGCATTTATTATTTAATTGTTGCAAGTAAATTATTAGTAATATTAGATAATGTTAAACAATTAGAATATTCAAAAATATTATTTAAACACTTACTTAGAAATTTCAGTCGATGTGCACACGATGAAGCTTCAACTTATAATGACTTTTTTCCTGCTCAACCTTCAAGTAAAGTCAGTTTTGCACAGCAGGTGATATTCTTTGTCAATACTTCAGAAAACACTTTTTCTATTCAGTAATCAGTAATTTTACAGTTTTATTGTTTCATAGCTTCCATTTATTTAAGGCAACAATACTGTAATTTCTATATTTTTTACAAAGTGAAACTACGTTTACACGGTTAGATTTAACTTATAATTCTGTTGAGATATACTAAATGCTAGTTTACATCTGTGACATATAGCGTTTGTGGCATATAATGCTAATTTGGGAAATAATTATATTATAGTTAATTATTAAGTCTCTCAAGAACAGTTTTGCAAGTAATAAAGCGTTCATGTTCAGTTCAATAAATAATTTTCAGTGTGGACGTAACAACATTATTTACAATTTCTGATTTTGATTCTTATTATTAATAGTGCCACGGTGTAAAACCTGCCTAATTCGAATATGATAAAGTGTGACACAAAAATGTAAAACATAACATAGGACACGGAAAAGCATTAGATGTCTCTTCTATCCTAGTTAATCAATGATACAACATGATATTTTGTAAATTGTTTTTATAAATGACGTGATGTTTATTGAATATTCATCGTCAGATACGTCTTACAACATACGATTATGATATATGAATGAATAAGATAATACATAGTCGTAATTTACTGCATATCACACTTTCGGTAGCAAGATGTAGCGATTATTTGGCCCACATTCAAATATCACGATCAAATTTTTTCAACGCGTCCCAATCTCGAAATTTTATTCAAATCGGCACTCTTCTCGATCAGCATTGAATGGCCAATCACAGATATTGTTCCTTGTGTTCCAAATTAAGTTGTTGGGGCACGTGAACTTCACTGGTGTCCCATGAGCACATTCGTAATACTGGAACAAAAATTATATAAATATGTATGTACGTAGGTACACGATGTACAGAATTTTTCAAGTTTATGAAATTATTTATAAATTGTTAATACATAAAATATATGAGATTAATGTTACCATATTAAAAATATGTTATTAAATATAAATATATATTACTAAAATATATTATTGAATAAAACTTTTTTAACTATATTCTTCAGCATTTGTACTTACAAAGCGGCAGTCTTTAGACGGAATGAATTTATCAGCATTTTCACAATCGATATTCTCCGCTTCGCCACCAACATTTATCGGTTGTTGGGTAGATTCAGATTTATCTACCTCTCCTGCAGTGCAAGAAGTAGATGAGGTAGATTGAGTAGGGTTCTTCGTAGGTAGAGTAGATTGAGTACTAGACTGAGTATTTTGAGTAGGCTGTTTCGTAGATGAAGTAGATTGAGTACTTTGAGTGGGATTGTTCATTGATGGAGTAGATTGAACAGTAGATTGAGTACTTCGAGTAGTCTGAATATTATCTGACGACGTGGTACTCGGTGGTTTTGCCCAATCAGGCTAAAAAAAGACGAACGTTATAATAAAGAAAGTGTAAAGAAAGCGTATTTTACAATATTATCTAGTCATTTCTTTTATCTCAAGTCTGTTTGTCGACGATATGCATGTTATTTCAATCCTGCCACGATCCTCTTATACTACATTGAATTTCTGTTTAAATTTATTCACTTTTAAAAATAAAGATTATACGAATTTTATATTTGAATTTTTATATTATAATCTTGCTCTTATTTTAGTAAGTAAGGAGGAAATTAAAAGAAAAAGAACTTTAAATATAGAATTCGAGCGGGAAATCGTATATACCAATAAAACTTCTTCTATACGTGTCTTGTTAAAATATAAGATATAGGTATATTATCATTAAAAAAATATTACTTAAAGTGAAAATGATAGAAAGAACGTAGCAAGAGTGAAACACATTTATAAGAATAGAAATGTCAGTAATCGATAACTGTTAATCAATAATTTCGTGTTTTGGTATATGACGATTTGTGAGGATATATTAGATTACAAATTAATTGAATTATTACTGTTAACATATCGAATAAAATAAAATAATTATTTACTGTAGGAGTGGTATGGAAGTCTTTGTTTGGTACGTTATATCCTTTCAAGCCTTGGTAAATGATATTCATCAGAGGATTAATTTGACCGCAAAGTCCTTGAAAATCGTCCATGTCGATGGCCCAAACCATGGCGCCACCATATCCAGAATTCTTTAAGAAATCGATTTTGTATTTCACACTTTCTTCGTTTTCATAACCAACCCACTGTGTTCCTGTGATTATTGACGATTAAATATTATCAATGTTATTTACTAATGCAAATTTCAAAATTTTTGTCAACGAGAATTTAATAATTAACCTAATTAATTAACAAGTCTCATTTATTTCAACATATATCACTTCATATTGTAAAATAATACCAATTGTTCATAGTGAATAGTTAGAATATTTTTGTGACTCACGTACATATGTATGTACATATATACCTTGATACATGTATGGAACTTTGCCAATATTGTCGAATTTTTGGGTCCAGTTACTACTTGGAGCTTGCAGGCTCTGACAGATCTTCAAACAGATATTTTCGATTATTTTCGAAGAACAAAACTATAAGAAATGTAATAGTTGACATTTATTGATCGTACTTCGTAGTAAGAAAGGAATCCCTTAGCTTGCGTGTAGTTCCCAGGATTACCACCACCAGCCTCTTTATTAATGTAAGTGCCTGGCTCGTAATTGGTGTTACTTGAACTAAGGGTGAATGTACGTCCATATAATGGAATTCCAAGGATCAGTTTTTTAGCAGGACAGCCTTTTTCCTCCCAAAGTCGAAGACCATCGTTCTAAGAACAAAAGTCATATAAACTGTAGATATTTACGTATCATTGGGAGATTAAAAAATGTAAAAATTCATAGAAATTCATATAATATGCAAAAATATATAAAACACCTAAAATATAGTACACCTAGGTCTCTTTTTATTTACAAGATTACACGGCGAAATAATTGAACTATTAAATTTAACCTAATAAATTGAAATAAAATATAATCAAAGATGTATCCCCCCTTCTGCACTATGTAAATGATAATTGTTTCAGTAATAAGAAAATGAATTTATTAGAATACGATGATAAGTAAAATATCGATTTCTTCATTTTCTTCAACATTAACATCTTTCACATGATACCTTCCACCATATAAAGAAAAGATCTACATTTGATAATTGAGCTTCCAATATTTGATAATTGAACTGTAAATTTTTATGTAAATTCGTATCTTTGAGCATGTAATTAAAAATCAATGAAAAATTGTTTTATATACTAAATATTATAGAAAATCCTAGTATATTTTAATATTTTCTATAATTTTTTTCCATTACATGCAAAAATTCATAGTCTATTGATAATTGAAACGGATCTCTGTTTAGATTATATTTCTCTTGTCAGAAAACATGTAAAATTGTATAAATATTTGTAACAGACATGGCATATGTACATTAAATTTAGCTTCTGTAAATAAATATGAAAAGACTTTTTACTTTGAGGAAATCTCGAGCTATCTTATCAGTGATGTGGATAGATATTAAGTCTAATAGTAAAAACATACATCTTTTGAAATTCTTACCACATTCAATTTCTCGTATGCCCATTGATCGTGCGGTCGACGATAAAGTGGACTATGTACATCAGCGAATCCAGCCCAGTTGCCACGAAGATCGTAAGCCATTACGTGGACGGCATCCATAAGTCTATGAGAATATTCTTTTACTCAAACGCGATAACAGAAATTTTATTAATTCACTTACTCGCACAGTTCTGGTACATGGTAACCTTCGTCTAGTCGGAATTTTGCCAATGGTACCGCTATAGTTAGCTCCCATCCTTTGTGTTCTTTGTTAAAAGCGCGTCTCAATTCTTCGACGAAGTAGAAGAAATTGTCCTTGTCGGAGAATTTGCCACCTCTGTCAGAGGCGCCAGGATATTCCCAATCAAGATCCAAACCGTCAAAACTATATTTATCTATGAATTCTGATAAAAAAAAGAAAAAAAATAATAGCAACATAGGAGTTACGTTTCATATAAAACCAACTCGTATGTTATATTAATATTACAACACTATTGGATATTACTTTCATATTTTATATTTGTGTTTTCGAAAAAAAAAAAAAACAAAAAACTGATATTAACCTTTCTATGGTTGTTAGCTGTACTTGCAAAAAGTTCTCGTTATATTATCGTTGAAAATAACAAGTCTTTATGTACTTGTTGGATGCTGTGCATCATTGAATTATTATTTATTAATTTTTTCAAACACAATAGCTTTTAAATTTTTAATTGTCATTTAAAACTAATTTTCACCATTTTTTTCTAAAACTATATTAGTTCGGTTCAACATTTTTCGCTCAGGATTATTTTTTTCTTTGATTCATTATTTGTATATATAAAATATTTGATTATATTTTTATCGAATTTAGTTCCTAGTAATAAAGAATCTCATCACGAGCAAGTAGAAACATAGAGGTTTATGTTATGTGGCATTGTGTTTAATTGATCTATTTTTTTATTTTGGACATTATATATATATAATTTATACGTTTAATTAATTGTAACTACATATTTATTCCATATTAAAATCTAAAACTAATAATTGTTATAAATAGGCCACTCGGTATTTTTCTAATATATTGATGAAATAGTAAAGACGGTAACAGAAATAATTAAAATAAAATTGTTGTACAACTTGAGATTTCCCACCATTTTACTCACCAACTATACTTTTGACGAAAGTATCGCGCCTTTCTTTTGAGCTGACCAGGGCACTGTATTTTCTGCCACCTTCTCCCCAACCACCAATAGCCACGGAGGTTTTCAAATGAGGATACTTAGATTTGAGATTGGTGAAGGCTAAGAAATTGCCCTTATCAATGTCTAGTTCTGGATCCAAGACAAGTACCTCCCAAGTGACATTGCTAACCCCGATAAATGAGTAAATGAGGTGGGTACACAAATCAGCCGGAATATCATCTATTTTGTAACTGCCGACATCCGGACGATAAATCGCCCAGTTGCTGAAGTAACAAACTATTCTCGGAGGTTGGTTTGCTGAAACTTTTGGAAATCACGTCATTTACGATGAAGAGCAGTATAGAAAATTCACGTAAATCTTGCGCATTAAAGTACATTAAAAATACATGCCACTAGTTCTTAAATATTTAATGCTAATCTAAACAACTTTTCAAAGTTACAAATATTTTTCATTTACAATATTAAAGAATTTATAACATTGGTTTTAAGCACACAATATTACGTTCATTTAATATTAACGAAAATAAAAAAGGATTTATGTAAAATACTGTGATTACTGGCTTAGTTGTGCTTTTCGCTATAACTGTACTTCGAACATTGAAAATGTTTTTCTAGCTTTATCAGAAATATCTTTATAATGCGTTTACCTGTCGTATAGATAAGAACCACAAGTAATAAGGGAAGTACTAGAAAATTCTTTCCTAATGACATCTTGAAATCTGTAAAAAAGATTTAAACTACAATTTCACCGTGGCAATTTGTTCGAATTGATCAATATACTTCGCCAGAACGTTCCAATATCTCACTCACTATGCTATAACAATACACCAATTATGCCAAATTAAATATTCTTCCAGCAAACACGTTATCCATGTATTGAAAAATTGCAACTTGTTGGAAACAAGTTTCGCGTGTTAATCGGCGCTTGGCAGTACGAACGTCTGCTGATTCTGTATCGAGACGTCTTTAAAAGACGAACGATCTACCGGTCGGTTGATTAGCTGTACCGAATAGCGGGCAAAGTGACCGTTTCATCGAAACACGTCGTTCTTCAAACGGTGAACGATCCGAGCCGACCGGTTTCCAGCAAAGCAAATACCGCAATATCTTTGTGAAGTGTTTTTTCCCCGAACAATCTCGTGTTGTTCCCGTTGTATTTTGATCTTGATCTTGAACTCGTCGGTTGTTCACGCGAGGAATCTCGTTCGACAATCGAATGGATCGCGTCTCGTTTACTAAACTCGATTCGCTTGCACGGTTGGTTTAATACTGTTATGTTGACGCGTACCGTTTTCTTTTACGTTTGGCGACGAGCTTTGAATAATACTTTTTACTTCGTTCGTCTTCCAATTACGTCGTTTTTTATTTAGCTTCCCTAAATTTCGGCCCAATTCTTTTGAACGTAAGCAACTACTTTGTTTTCTAACATTTCATTCTTCAGCCGAAATCTGCCGAATTAATTGACAATGATCATATCCTATTTTTTAAATTCTGTTTGTGAAATCTTGAATTTGCATTAAATACCTTAATAACAATAAGGAACTTTTGCTCAGGCTTTGTTTCTTACATTCATGCTGAATATCATCGTTTGGTAGTCTAATTATTTATATTTTCGAAAGTTGTTTAACAAAACATTTACATCGAAAAGAATTTAAGGATTCTAGATTTGAAAGAAAATTCAAATCGTCAGTGCATCAATTTTTTGTAATTAACTACGGATTTTTATGCACATATTAATTATAAATACAATTAATACGACTGTAATTAAAGAAACGGAAAAATTATTTTATATCAGAGAGTGTTAGATTAAATATTTGACATATTCTTTTATATTTCATGCATTTTGTCGCAATAATGCACAATGTTGCAACTTTAAAATTGTTTATACACGCATAAAAATTCGTCGAGCCACGTCTTCGTTCGGATTGAGACGAAAACAAGTTTGCAAGAGGCTCGATATACAAAATACTAAAAGTTCAAGCATCTTTTAAAATTTCGAACCCGAGGACCGAAAATTAAGACGATATTATGCGATGTCCGCGTCTGAAATGGTCCGGACTGTAAAAGTCACATATTCTTTTTAAAGTCTGCTTTATCGATAAAAGTCATTAACGTGAAGTCAAGTTACGGAAACGTGCTCGTAAAAACCGAAGTTCACTTCTTTGCTGGTCGACATCGAGGACGTTGCAAAATAACGAACGAATAAAAATTTCAAGACTGAGAAATTTTCGAAAATGCTCTATATCACAGATAAACTAAAATTCTATTCATGAGGGAAAAAATTACTTTATCAAAGGAAAAAGAGTTGTGCCTATTTAATATCTGGGAATTAATAATTATTACAAATAGTGATATTTTCGAAATGTATACTATCTAATATACATTATTGAATAAATATTTGGACAATTCTGAATTATTGTAAATAGATCAAGTACAACTGAACGAATATTTTTAATTTAATTGTAAGATACACAGTAGAATAGCTAATATCAATTATAAATGAAAAAGCAATAATTTAAAGTGACTGAAGAGACACTAACTTTAAGTACATTTGTTCAAGGTTGAGACATCTTTCAGAAATTTATAGAAATCTTATAAAATCAGTCAGTTATTAATTAAAAATTAATACAGAACTTGAGTTCATGCTCTTTGCTTCAGATTACATTTAGAAGAATATTTGAATTTATCTTGGTTATAATAAGATGTAGAAAATTAATTCAATTTAATAGGAGAATCGTAACTAAGAAAACTAAATAATTTTTTGATAAAATAAGGCACTAAGTGTCCAATTATTTATGCACCATAGAGTATATGTATATGAATACGTAACTTTCACTATATTATAAATTATAAATCGATAGAGGATTAACTATCACCAGTAATAAAAATCCGATTCTTCGCCGTTAATTTTCGAGAATTATTTACAATTGATTCACGATCAAATCAATTGTTCGCAGGCCATTGTCTCGCAAAATAACAATTGGACATTGAAAAATAAAAAAGTAGCAGGACGAAGAACGAAGAACAAATATATAAAAGCGGATCAGAGATCGTCCTTGGATTTGAAATGAAAGAGCTAGATAATGGTCCTGGACTGCGAAAAATAGAAAGAAAGATACCGGAGGTAGAGGTAGGACCGCGAATTAAAATGCTGGCTGCATCGGGTCCTTCGACTACTATTCCACAGACTGTACAGCGAATACAAACGCCGCGGACCCATACCCGGTGAATCTTCTTTTTCACCGAGATAATAACTCGTATTGTTAACATTCCGCTGGTCTTTTTATGATACTTTGTTCCTCTTGGAACCAATGGCTTAAGCCGTTTCGCGATAACATTTATTATGTCGGCCTTTTTTGAAAGAATTCTGGAATCGCAGGACTTTTTATCACTTTTTGAGTGAATGAGAATGTAAATATTGTGTAGCAGAGGTGGTCAAATTTTATTGTGACTAGACTGCGTATTTTTATGTGGTTTTTATATTTTGATGGAAGAAATTAAGCACAAATTAATTTCATCTGTTAAATATCCTCGAAAATGATGGCCACTTTTCACGGTTTGAAATGAATGGTTTTAAAAATTCGATCTGATTCAGTTTTGGATAGTAGATAGTAAAGTCACCAAAATCTCAATTCAATCTTTAGATATACTAAGCAAATTATTGAAAATACAAAAATTAGACTGACAATATATTCGCTTTTCTTATATTACTCAAGACTACTTGAAATGTCATTCTAATCTCTGTCCTAAGCTGTCATAAGTTATGATTTATTCTGTATTTTACATTGAACATAAAAGATTAGCAATAAAATTCGATTAAATTAAAAATTTTAAAACCATTTATGTTTTAACTCTAAATTGTTATGATCCAATGGTACAACAATATGAATTAAGTAATTCAAGTGGTGCATCTTCATTGACGATCGCGAATCAGTATTCTAGAAATGAATCGAAGAAGAAGAGACTAAGTTAGTTCTCTTATTCTTTGTCTTGCGAGGTTCTTCCTGCTGTATAGGTATGCAGCAAGTTAGGTATGGTGTGCACTTTAGATACTGTGCTTTGTCGATATGATTAGCTCGCGAGCATAAAAAAAATCTATAGGCGATAACCTTCCACTTAATCTTACGTGACCGACATTCTCAGCGATATCTAATCGATTGATTCCAAGTCCTTGTTACTTAATACAAATCATACAAACAGTATTACGACAACAATGATTAATACGTTGACAATTGGGACGAAATTAATAAATTTGCTGGTAAAAATACTACTGACAAGTCGAAAATGACTGAAAAAGGAAAAATGTAACGAGACTAAAATATTTGTAGAAACAGAAATAACCGATAACCGTTATGACAATCAACGTGTTAATTATTCTACGTGCAAACGTGCTCTATACCAGATAACTAATAGAATAGAAAATAACAATTGAATTTTGCAATCTTATTCTTTTGCATTCTTAGGTACGAATATGAGACTACTGGAAATTTTTCGACTCACCCGAACCCTACGCAGGTTGACCTTCGAGTCGCGGATCGAGAAGAAGAATAAAAGAAAATGGAAACGAAGGGAGAGAACGACAGACCGTGTGACGTGTCAACGATCGCGACAAAATTCCAGGGACTTCGTACAAATATCGCTTAAAGAGATCGTTGAGAAAAGTTGACATAAATATCCGTCCATTTTTATGCGTAGTCGAACACTTAGTTCGCTGGTAGAAGTGTTTGCAGTGTCTGTTCGAAGGAAAAGTATCCCATATTTTGAAAAAGTAGTGACGAAGATTTTAAGAATGTGATTTCAGTTGACTAGGCATGGAATTACCTTAGAAATATTCTCAAATCGTGGCTTGATTCAACTGTTAATTAATTTGCAAAGTTTCAACGAAACAATGGATGTTTTCATGAAGATTCTAAGTATTTCTCTCGATTGTCTTTTTTGTTAGAAATGCTTTCGAATCATGATTGATTGCTTTACAAAATTGTAAGAAACAACTCTTTTTCCAATTCCATGTTTCATTTATTGCGATAGATTATCCGAAACGATAGTAATTGATACCATCTTATCGTTAACTGGAATTACGTACTTACTATAAAGCTATACAAGTTATACTTCAAGTACGGTGTACTATTTACTGTAACACGTTGCAACACAACGTGAGATAACGATGACAAAGACTACAAAATTTTGATACTTTAATAAGCATTGATCTAATTGTGAAAATATGAAAATGAATATTAATTACCATTGCAACGCAAAATTCGTATGTTTTATCTATGGGGCGAAATATTTAACTTTCTTAAAAAATTATGTTACAATAAAATGTCCCTCAAAATATAAAATAAATGATCTTAAAATAATATAAAATAATAAATCTTAAAATATTTTATGACACTATCTAATTACTTAATTATTTAAAATTCTGCTATCGATGATGCGCGTCTTATTTTATTTATTCTAAAAACATCAATTATCGGTGACTATCGCGGCAATTAACGTATTAAAAAATCAGCGTTATAAATATAAAATAAGTTAGTGATAATGTTACCTAAATCCAGTAACAAATATTCGCCAAAGTCGCGGCTTTTGTCAAATATAGGAGAAATTAACAGCAATGTCAGAGGTGAACTGGTTGAAATGACGTTGACAGAGAAATAAAAAAAAAAAAAAAAGGAGGACTCACCTTCACGACAAGCGGGTAACTCAGAAAAATCGTGGCTTCGACTGAGGTTAAGCTCTCATATATACCCAGATGAACCTCATTAGAATTCAGGTGCAAGGGGCCTGGCACGATTGGTTGGTTCGTCGACCCTCTGCCTCCCGACAACTGCGAGGAGGATGATCGCGCGACGATCACGATCTATCACAATTGATATCTCGCTTCTCATCAGAACCGACTCTTTCGACTCCTTCGATTCGTCATCGATCCCTTTGTCTCGATGCTCTTCCCTATCCTTCCCTTACACCCGGTTTCGTTCTTCTCGATTTATGTCTTGTCAACTTATAATTCACTATACACGATCGACGAGAGTTTTACTCGTTTCTTTCTCGAGATTACGGTTCATTTCCATTGGAGAAATGATGAGAATTGGAGAAATTGCGCGGTGATGATCATTTTAAATCCCAATTTCGATAAAGAATTCAATGGTTTTCAAGACTGTGAAAGTTTGAGTAGGATTCGATATGCGTAAAGTCTTGAAAATTTTGAAAAGTCCTTGAAAGTTTTAAATTTATAATCTTTAAAAGTTTTGTAAATCTTGAGAGTTTTGGAAGTCTTGAAATCTTTGAAAATCTTGGTTACTTTGATAAGTGCAAGCATTTTAAATGCAATCAGCATTTAATTCAAGCAGTATCATTAATATAAAATAATAAAAAAGATCTTTATAGTTTATTTTAATTAAATTTTACATTATACATATTATACATTGATTGCGTAAATTTTGAAAAATTTTCAATCTTTTCGAGATAAGATTTTATCAAGATTTCGAAGAATATCAAGATTATCATGATCAGTAATTTCAAAGCTATTGAGATTTTAGGCTCAAGACTTCAAGTGATTCAAAATGCGTGGTAGTTAATCATTAATCATATGTATAAAATAGAAATGAATTTCTGACAAAAAGATAATCTAACATTACTTTCTTTTTTCGCGATTTGATTCCATATCAGTAGATTCTTACCTTAAAATCAATATTTCATTACGTTACGTTATCCATTGCATAATTAATTAAAATTTTTTTCGATTGTATGCTATATGTAATATTAATTGACACTAATTAATATCAATAGAAAATGATAGAATTTTGCTTCGAAATGTATTTTATTATCGTACATCAATATTATCTCAATAAAACGAATTGATAGTAAAGTTGAACAGAATTAAAAATTAATTAAACTTTAGCTGGTTATTGGAGGATTATAAAAATTTATTATTAAATTATTTAATTTCGAAATTTTTAATTTTATTTTCTAAAATAAAATCAAATATCCTAAATTTCAGTAATCTAACATAAATTATTACAATCATTTATAATCCGATGGTATTATCTGTTTTTATTTTAATCAAATTTCTCTTTTAATCGATTCTTTAGATAAATAAATTTATGCATCGAACATTGTGTAATAATATCCTTCCAAGTGTGTAGATATGTACTCTTGATTTTAAAATATTTCTTCCACGGATACTCGAACTAAAATTCAATCGATTCAATCGATTCAAATCGAAGGTGAATCAAGCAAATCGTACATGAAAGATGGAAGGAAAATCTCAGCTCGTGTAATATGGATTTTATTTTATTCGTGTAACAATAACAGTTCCTGTTTCCACAGTAGTTTCCACTTTTACAATAGTGTTTCGGTGTTCGCTCTAACGACTCGCTTGGCGCAGTGGCAACCGCAGAAAGCAACCCTTTAACAGGTTTCTCAGGTGTCACGAGCCAATCGAGGACATCGAACGAGAAGTTCGTAGCAAACTAACGAACGCGTCATCGTTTCCTTTCAATCTTTTACTTCACCTCGGTACTTGCGACAATTCGCGACGGAGGTTGAGGAAAATTCTCAAAAAGGACACCGACGATACCGATTGCTGAGTGAAACAGCTATACCTAACGAACTCCTCTTCTTCTGAATCTATTTCGCTGCCATCGCTCGTTTCGCCGCGCATTCTACGTCGTACACGGGTCATCGTATCGTACAAAATTATTCCTAACACGTGGATGCCTATGGGCCGAAGAGTTCTCTCGTACAATAGAAATGCGTTTCTACCATTAATTATAGCATGATGATGAGCGAGATACATTTCTTTCTTTTTTTTTTTTTTTTTCTCAGGGTTGACAGTCATCAAAGCGGAGATGATCCTTAAACGTTAAACCGTTTGTGCTGCGCGTTAGTCTCGCCGGTTTATTTTCTTCTTCTTCTTTTTCTTCTTCCTCTTCTTCTCTTTTTTTAATTGACGAGCAGTGATCGCGGTGTTTCGCGATCGATCTGCTTTTGGATGCGTAATTTGGCACTCTTCGATTTCGTTCGAACGCTCTCGTCGTTCTAACGTCCAAGAGCATTTTCAACACGACACTACTACCATGTAAGATTGAGTAGAAACACTCGCGTACTTTCGCGACGCTACGCGTCTGAACGCTGGCGGCTTCGTCTTATTGTTAGTCCTTTGAAGCGTCGCAATCGGCGATTCCCTTCCACTATTTCTCGCACTTTTTGGTATATTATAGAGATCCTGCTATTTGTATAAATTATATTCTAATTAGATTGCAACACACGTGAAATGTCCGATTCTTCTGTATCGATATTTTAAGACTTCTTTTTTCCAGTAAATATTTAGACATTTTAGAGATATTCTAAGCGCAGACTTTCTTTTCTCCGATTCAGCCTTCATTTGTTTTATACATTGCTAATGTTACTATTAATTAGTCCTGCTCTTGACGTATTTTTATTATCTCATTATTTTACTATCTTTTTAAATATCTAAACCATTGCCTCAGTGAGAAAATCTTTACAAATCAACAGACTGTTGAAAATGCCTTTAAAGGAAACCTTAAGCTTTTACAAAAAATAAAATATAATCAAAAATTTTAATTATACTAAGAAAAATGATACCAAATTAATTGGTATAACTAAATAATGAATTAAGAAATTTACAATTTAGTTGGAGAGTGTGTGTAGATTATAATACTTCCTCTTTTTAATGTTACGTTTTCATATTCTAATAGTTTAAATTACCATTAAAAATCGGACATTTCGTATAACAATAATTAAAATGCGAACTTTTGTGCATTTCTATATTTTAACAATCGAAATTTAACAAGAAATCGAAGTAGAGATTCGTTTCATCTACTAAATATTATGATATCCTATTCATTGCAGCATTTCTTTCTTCAAATTTCTCACAAATGCATAAAAATCCGCAGATCAATGACAATCTAAATAAAATTGGCGAATTCAAAAAAACCGCTAAAGGAAAAGGAAGGTCTGGCCCTTCGACCAGAATAATAACAACAACGAATGCAATTCCCGCTTCAAAGAACCAAGTTTCGATTATATCGAAGGTTACGTTGACAATCGACCATTAAATGGATACGATGTTACACGTTTTTTTTTATAGAATTTATCTAGTCGCACCTTTGAAGTCTTTTTTCTTCTCATATTGTTAAACAATACGATAATCTTGATTGACAGACAACGTGAATCGACTTTCGGGGAAAACATAATACACGCCGCTTCGAAACGTGAAAACAATCGACGTAGAACGATATTACAGACGTTTCTAAAGCATACATACATGTTACGTGTTTTTCCTTAAATTACACGATGATCCAACGTCGATCAAACGTACGTATCTGTATGAGAAGAGTTCGTAAGAAAAGTGTCGATTAGGATGGCGAGTGCTCGAGTGATTAGTGCGTCACATTATCAGATCTATGCGTTTGATCGCGTTGAAGTTGGAGCAGATTCACTGATGGAAACACCGATCAAACGTGCAGAAGTTAATGATAATGTTGCGTCTGTTCGTTTGAAATACAACGACATACAATCTGTATTTTAGTATAGCAAGTTTAAAGAAATTAATGGTCAAACTGCGAATTTTTATTATATTTTCATAATTAAAGAGATGGAACTTGAATGGAGATTTGTTTCATTTGTTAAACGTTATAAGTATTTTACATACTTTTGCGTATTGTAAAACCGCAGTCTATTCACGTTCCATTACCATATTTTCTGAATACAGTATAGTACTTCGATAACTTGAATTTTAAGGAAAGTGAATAAAACTTTGATTAAAAATTTGATTTATGAAAGCCTTGTATCAGAATTAATTTTTCAATTTCTGAAAACGTAGAACTCATTTTATTATTAAGGTATGAACAATTGACAACTATAATGTCAATGATCGTATTGGATTAATTATTGACTTATAATTTCTCACGAAAGTATTTGAATGCTTATAAGAACATTCTATGAATATTTAATGTATATTATATAGAATATTTTGACATTTCATATATACTATAATGAAAATCGATTGTTATACTTATATCAAGTTTGAAACAAATCTAAAAATAAACATAATATGAATGTTACAAGATATTTAATGCAAGTATATATTTCGTGAGGATTAGAAAATGTATACATAATCAATGAGACATGTATCAATGAACCATTTTTAATCATATGTATATATTTTTTTTATTATATACTTATAACATGTTAAAGATGATTATTCTTGCTGTAGACTAATTTTTTACTACATATATATATGTTTGCAATTAATATCTTGCAACTGGTATATACATCTTCAGATTGATTTGAAATTTTAACAATATAATGATACTCGCGTAATCTCTCATTTAGTATAAGTGTTAAAGAAAGTTCAAAATATTTTACAGAACACTGATACATACCTATAAAATTTCTTTTACGATAAGTGTTCAAATATTTTCGTGAATCACTGTGTATGCAGAAGCAAACTTGAAAAAGACATTCTACATTCAAATTTTAATACAAATAGAAGTAAAATGTATGGTAAACATACGACAAATAATTCGACAGACGTTCATTTTCCAAAAGTTATAGAGTGGAAGGGAATTTTTATCTCTTTGAAGGTTTTCGAGTTATCGAAGTTCAGCCATATTACAGCGTTTAATCATTTCACTTTATTTCGTGACTGTTTCGAAGTAAAAAAGATGGGCAATCTGATTTAGCATTGAGAAACGTGTTGTTATTAATTTATCAGTCACCTCTTACATTGCTTTTGATTGGAACAAGTGTTAGATAAATTACTAAATTGTACTCACCCATTCTGAATATGATAACAGTGATTGACGCTGAACACTTCATTGCAACGATTCAATCATTATCTTACACGCTTTGAACAAATTATCGAGCACACACATGTTCGAAGAACTTATTTAGAATTTCATGTGCCCTCGATCGGTGTTTTACACCGCAAATTCACTCGCGTCTCAGTCAGTTCAATTCGATCATTATAGCGATCTTTATTAATATTTTGACTATGTTGCGTCGCTCGTAGCACCTACCGCAAACGCAACCTTAAACTCTACCTTATTTCTTGTACCTTATCGCTAATGTATTCGTTTCTTCTTATGTAAATCCGCCGATGACTTAAACCGATGATTCCCAAACTCGTTACGGTATGTACAAACACAATAGACGCAATAAATTATTTCCTAGTAATTAATGTTAGTAAATGTAAACTTAAAGAAATACTTCTCCGGGTCCGTCGTCATTAATATTGAATTCGTAATAATAATGATTAATATAACTAACAAAAATATGTTTATAAATGAAGGATCCACGAGAAAAAAGGGAAATTTCAATTTTAATGAATTATTTTGAGTTTAATATTCCTTCGTATTCTTCTATTTAAAAGAATTTAAATAGAAGCTATGGATATGTTTGGATCCAACATTCGACCTACACGTTACTCAAATCATCGTTCGAGGGTTAATGAACGTTGAGAGAACGAGTTTGTGAAATACGATTTTGTGTAATAGATAAATTTCACTGAATTCGACCAATGTAATTATTTATTCCATTCTCTATTAACGAGAAAGTTGTATTAAGTTGTATTAAGAGAATAATTTGACCAAAGAAGAAAGATAATAATATGAGAAATTTACAGTAAAGAAAAAATAGGAATAATGTTCTCAGAAGGTGATAGAAAAAATAAAATTGGATCATTACGTGTAGGTAAGGCAATTTTTTTGAAAAATATTGGGAACTGGAACAGAAACTTAATCATAAAATTAAAAGAATCATTTTTTATTTTTATCTAATATAGGAAAATCAACCATATCAATTATGTAAATTGAAAAACACAATAATGACATTACAAACATTGCCCTTTAAATTTACCATTTTTCTTCGATGAATGAACTTACAAAAGTAAATCACTTGTTCCTTAAAAATTGAATATTAATTTTGCATTTGTGCAAACTACGAAATTAGTTGCTAATACATTCAACGATCTAACATAAAATGTACTTGATTCTTCTAATTAATTACCATTGGCCGAATTCAGTGGTCAATCATATATCTAAATAACGACGTTCGCACGAATTAGAGGAATTCGATTACAGTCATTTGCTAAGTGAGCCGCACTGTGCGATCGCTGCTTCTTAATTTATTATTTATTGCTAGTGATAGAAACTCGTGGAAGCATTCTCTTCAAGAGGAAGAGGAAACATCGAGGCAGAATGGCGTCAAGCGACACGCGGCATCAGAATATTTATCGCTAGAATAGTTTACGTTGGAGCAACATTTACGATTACAGGGTATAGGCCTCGCAGTTAGTCTTTAATTTTACGATGACGGAATTTTATATGTTTCGAGTGTTTATTTCGTTAAAAAACGTACAAGACCGAATATATCAATCGAATACAAATGTCTGGCGAAATTGTTAGAATGTATTCTTAATGTAGGATTGGATAATCCAATGAATGAACAATGATTAAAATCTTAGACGAATCGAAGACTTGAAACCATCCTGTCTCGACGTCACGATTAAACGATATAACGTTTCAAGTAGAAAATAGTAAATGGAAATTGTTCTGCGTTAAAGGTGGGAAACAATAGTCGATTGAAAGGAGAATAAATAATAAATAGAAAATTTGCACCCTTTGCACTCTAGCTACCAACAACCCCAAGATATTTTTGATGGTACTTCTGGCGAACATTAATTATTCAAGTTATTACGTCAAATAATTATACATTTCAAATTTTATCACATGTTTGTTAGCTTAATTCTTTTTAAGAATAAATTTTGCGTTTCACTGCTTTTCTTCTTCTTAACAGTACTTTTTTACTATCGTCGCTAGAACAATTCGTTCAATTTTTATATACGTCAAAATCAAAGTCCTCTTCACTATCAAAAGATTTCCATTTTTTCACCACGAAACTTTTTCCAATTGTAGCAAAGTGCAAAGGGTTGAAAGTTTCTTTATCTCCGAGACGAATGATCAACATAAACTCTCATTCGAATTTACTATTTCCTCCTATAAATATCGTTTGCTAAATCTGTTCGACATTCATTATATTACTAGTTCTTATCGACGATCCAGAGAACAGCTATTTATTATCAGTTTATTTTATTTTTTAATCCATGATTATGTACAATATTTACGCAAATAAAATAAAAAAGAACGAAAGAATTGTTTCCTTTATCATTAATATAATCGTGATAGCAAGTTGTCGGACGAATCGTTCGTTATGAAATTTCAAAAAACGTTACACGAGGAAAGATGGTTTTGTTTCTCTGTTGTTCCGGGCTGGCAGTAAAGTTTTCTTTTTGTGCTAAAAGGATTTAGTTTCTCCGTGGCTATGTCCGAAAGACATTGGCCTGGATCATCTTACGAGTAATAATTCTCTCTCTGTTGATAGAGAGGTAACGGCGTTACCGGCGAGAGATCCTCGTCTTCTAAGCTCGATTCGGTCTTCAATGGTAGAGTGGCCAGTGCTTTCACTATTGAAATAAAGAAGTTAATGTAAGGTCAACGTGAAACGTTTGCTGGAGAATTGTTTTTCATTTTTTAGACACGAGCTTTTCGTCTTTCACAGTTTGAAATTTGTATGGAAATTTTCAGAATTTAATATAGAAATTTTACTCTCCAACGAACGTCAATCATCAATTACGAGAGAAAAATCACCGCAAAAATGGAAATTAATCGAGGAAAGGATGTATGAGAGGAAATGTAAAAAAAAAAAAGAAAAAAAATGAAAGAAAAATATAAACAAACCTGATAAACGATAATATGATGTGCGTGTCCTATATGGGAGGATGGAGAAAGCATGTCAGTCAGTGTGCCTGGTTACCTATACACAGCATAAACAATCCAAACAACACTCACTACGTATGATACAACTATATCTTACATCGATTGGACTCTCGACGAGGAAATTAATTACATGAGTAATTGAAATTAAAAATATTCACGATGATGCATGCCAATGAAAACTTCCTCGAATATCTTGCATTTGGAACTGGAGACATTGCTAATTTCCAAAAAAAAAAAAAAAATGCATAATTAATTTCGATGGATAGACGACGTAATTATGCATAATTAATTTCGATATCTACCAGTTCCGATAAGATAATAAATAGACTGCGAATTTTCATGCATTTACGAGATGTTTAAAATACAAAAATATAAAGAATATTAATTTATATGTTATAATATAAATAATATTAATATAAAGAATATGAAACATAAAACATTTTGTAATTGTAATTATTAATTGCACAGAATATTTATATTAATATTAAATATTAAATATATTAATTAAAATATTAATATTAATATTAAATATATTAATTAAAAGATATTATTATTTAATTTTGATTATAAAACATTTTCATATATGAAATATTTAAAAGAGAATAAAATAAATCTCTCTCAATGAAACAAATTCGTATATTCAATAAATTCTATTTCTCTTGGCCAGTTTATAAAAAATTCATCACTGGAACAATTCGCAGTCCGATAGCAAGATACTATAAAATAAAATATATAGTGAAGAAACCGAACAAGCGCAAGCCTTCTGCACTAAAAAAGCAGAAGGCACGAAAGCTTTTCTAAACATTGGTCATGCTATCACACCACTAAACGCTATATATTAGATTCATGCAAAATGAATCGAACCGACAAAATTATTTTCATCCGAGAAGTCGAAATGTTTAACATACCCGCCACCATCTTGCTCTTCTCCATCACTTGCTTCGCTAAAATTTGATTTAGCTGTAAAATATGCTCTCTTTGCCGCTTCTCTTCCACCACTTTTCTCTTCAAGCTGTCTGATTGCTCGATATTAATATTGTCGTCTGAAAAAGACAACGATTCGATTTAATTATATAATATTTACTTAACAAGTGATTTGTCGATGTACAGCCTCCGGTTAATGAATCAGGATCACTTCTAATTTCCAGTGTTCATTTTATTTAAAAAATGTTATAGTTAAATAACATAATTTTCTACATTCTTTATAAGATTTTTAACGAACTAAGGAAAACACACATTAACAGTGGATATTTTAAAATACAGATACTCGTATCCAATACTTTGATGGTTAATAAAACTTGCAATTAAATTTTGTTCGACGTTTCTGTTTCACTAGAAACATGTGAAACATTGAGAGTTCAATAAGTAATTTGTTAATGTATAATAACGTAGACACATACCGCTTCCATCCGGTGCAGTCACAGTTGTTTCCGACAGCATCTTCCTTATCGCTTCCGCTTTCTTCAATCGTTGCTCCTGCTCTTCCGCAGTTAATTCTGGCGTCTGGAATACAATTTTGTTCCAACTTCGTCATACTAAGATACGAATAAAATAGCGAAAAAAAAGAAAAAATTCCAATTCTCAGACATATCACCTGTTCAGGAATATATCTCTCAGGTATTACGATCTTATTGGGCGTTCCCAACAACTGATCAATAGTACTCTCGTTGTACTTCAGTTCCTTGTGGCTCAAAGTCGATCTCACGACATCCGGCGCGTTGATCCTCGGCCTGAGTGCTCGTTCCATATCCAGATCATCTCTGGCTCTACCCATTCCCTAAGAAAACACCAAAGAGACCACTCGTTCAATATACTCGCCGCCGCAATATGTTGTACTTTCAACAACTTGTTACTCAAAATACAGCAAAGCGACGCCAAGTGAAACGATACGACGAAAGGATGGAACAGAGAAGGGAACCAAACGATAACGATTGCACGAATCGGGGGAAAAAGGAAGAGAAATTACGAAAACATAAAATACAAAAAAAAAAAAAAAAAAAAAANACCGTTGTTGGCGCGTAAAAACGATCCCGTCGAGGGTCGACTTTCTTAAAAAAACAAAAAAAAAAAAAAAAAAAAAAAAAAAAAAAAGAAAAAAGAAAAAAAAGAGAAGAAATGATACCATCTTAGAGAAGGTGTCCTCTAGATCGAGGATGGGTTTGCTACTGGACACGGTATAGTGTCGCCTTTTCTCGCGGGGGATCTGTCTGCGCCTCGGCCCCTCCACCTTTTTCTCCGTCATCTCCTTGATAATCTGTTTCGCTGCCTCGCTCTTGAATACTGGCGACAGCTGCGGCGAGTTTGACGCGTTCACAGTCAACGACGAGCCAAACTGTCTCTCCTGGCCATCGAGGCTGGTCGGCGACAATAATTCTGGACTCACTGGCTCTGTCGCGTTGTCGTTCCTCCTTATCGTAGGATTCTCATAGTGTCTGTACGGTGGGTAATATGGTTGTTGATGATGGCTCGATCTAACTGGATAATTCTGCTGGCTGGGGCTGTAGGATGGGCTGGTCGAGTAATTCGGCGAGCTCATAGGCAGATGCGAGCTCGAGGCTAGGCTCTCCGTGTACGGTGAAAGAGTACTGTCCGAGCTTCCGTCCTGGGTTTCGAACTGCGTTGATCGGCAGGCAAAATAATGGAGGGCATGACGAAGTGAGGACCGAACAAAATAAGGCGTCGCGGGGTGAAAGACGAAACCAATGAAAAAAGAAGAAAGAACAAAATGTATGAAATAATATGTGTGTTGGTTGGTTCGTGACATTTATTTTGGTGTTAGTCGTGCCGATGCGCTGAGCATGAGAGATCAATTATGAACAAAGTATCAGGCTTTCGTCTCCATCTTAAGAAATATATGATATTTGATGATCCACATTTTAGATATGGTATCAAAAACATTACATGCAAAATATTTTATTAGGTTCAATAATTATCTACAAGTGATATTTTTTGTTATATTAACTTTAAGTATAACATAAGTATTGATATTTGCCAGCCTTCATTTATCATAGTTTTACAGCTTTCAACAAAATAATTTAGTCTCTTTTTGTTTACTATGACAGTAACAATGGATTATTTTACGTTTAATAAAAAAAAAAGTAGCATGCTGTTATTTAAATTGTATGGTTTGAAGGGATACGAGGAAATCTATAGAAGACTTACGGTATGAGGATATTGATTTTCTTCATTCTAGCGAATTGAACTAGTGATTTTCCTCTGAGGATTTAAAAGAAACTTACACGAGGATGGACCGAGTGCATTGACAAGCAAAGGGACCATAAAACAATCACCGAAAGATAATATTGTCGTATAAATTCCGGATAATTATTGAATCACTCTCGTAAATTAAATTATTATTTACATCATATGAAGACACAAATATTTTGTTAGTACATGTAACAAAGAATTCTTCAAAAAGAAAAAGGCAGACACGAAGAAATTTTATCAGTTCAATCAATTAGCGCATCGGTATCGAGAGACAGGGATAGAAAATGAATTGGTAAATTGTCGTTAGCTCACCCTGACTTTATTCCGTCTGGCCAGCATAGTTCTCAAGGCGTGCATGCTGTCGCTTCTGGGAGGAGGCACCACCGGAACCTGATGAATCTCGGGCTGCTGTTGCCGCTGTCCGCCAAAACCTCTCGGCAAGGACATGCTTCTTTGGAACTGCACATCGTCCAAATCCGTCAGCTGGACCGTGCTTTGAGCGTGAATCATCGGCGACTCTTCTACCACCTTTCCTAATTGAGCCTTCTAAAAATAAATTGATTGGAAATAGAGTAAAATAAAATCGAACGCTGCGACAACGTAGCTGATGATCATTCACGCTCGAAATAAAGTGACCGATTAATTATAAACGATAAAAGATTGAATATTGAAATGGACTTGCGAAATACGGTAGAAACTGGTATTCAAGTAGAAATCTGTTTCATACATTAAACATTATTACTGTACCAATTACTCAAACAATCATTTAATTATTTATTACTTATATAAAGCAATGTTACTACTATTAATTATTACTAGTTTATTAATGTCGTTGTTACTTGTTTAATTGTTGCGTACCAATATTCCAACAATTATTCATTAAACATTAATATCTTTTTTACTTACTTAAGCTCGCGATCGTGAATGAATTTAAAAATTCAAGACTATGTGTACTAAATAAATTTTTTAACTCGCAACTTTCGCTTTCGATAAAATTACAATGAATCACAATCTAACCACTCGACGTGGTCATTTTTTTCAATAAAAGAAAAAAGAACTGCCAATTTTTGATGTACATCGAAATCATTCACGAAGAAATTACCTCGAATTTCTGAGAACCTCCTAAATCATCGTCGCACAATCTCTTGGCACCTCCGGGCGCCTGAAGCCCGTTCGTTAATGGAATTCCAATGTTTCCAGTTCTGTCTCCTCGATCTCTTTGCCGTCTTTCCGATTCCCGTTTCACGATTCGCACGGTCTTAATCTCTTGTTTCTCACGGTTGTGAATCAAGCCTTGAAAACGCCATTATCACGAATTACCAATCGCTATTGTGTATGAAACGGTCTGACTAGATCTTGCGTTATTGCTTCACTTACCGGCAAACTTGTTGTCCTCGTTCTGTCTGTAATTATCGTTCAGTAACGATTCCTCGGCGAGGGGTGGCGGCGGAGGGGGTGGAACGTATTCCGGTGGAGGAATCGTGCCGTTAGTCAAATGTTCATCCTGCTTATTGTTCTCTAAAATGGTTAAACGTGTTCAACGTTCTCATTTGCTAACCGCGAACGTTTATTTAACAAATATACAAGTTTAAGAGTCTTATTGGACGTTGTCTGTGATTTTATTGTCAGTTTTTAATTGACTTTACAATCAAAAACGATTTTACAAAGTATGAATCGATTTTTGTTTAATCGTTTTCTCAATTTTACGATTTAGACAATCACCAGTCGACGATCATTAAACGATACTCAACGATTTTGCTTTCAAGATGTCGAGACTTCCTCGGCAAGCTGTTCGGCAGCGATGTTTCTTTTCGAATTATTCAGTGCATTGATCTCACTTGTGTGCTCACCTTGAATCCGAGAATCCGTGTTGACGTATAACGGAGCGACGTTCGCTTGCATCAGGCTTCCTTTTCCCTGCATCTGATCCTTCAGAAGCTGTTGCTTCAGCTGATGCTGTTGAATCTGTTCGCGCAACTGGGGCGAGAGCGAGGAAATGTGATTCTGCGGCGACTGAGGATACGATTGTAGGTTCGTCTGTTGACGATTCGTGGGCGAGGAGTCTTTGATCTGCGTCGGTGAACTGAAATGAGGATACGGTCCACCGTTCTGCTTGCCACGGGGCGACGAGGACAGCGCGGGACTCGATGGTGAATCCAAGCCGTGGTCCAGAGTTATCCCGGAATCGAGATCGGTCTCCAACCAAGAGTTTTGTGTCCGCTTCTTTGGCTGGTGCACTTGGGGAGCTGCGTTAGAGTTAAAAGTTCAATAAAGAGAACGTCATTAGGTAATTGCATCGAAGTGAGAATTAATCGACTAATTGGCGACAACGGCAATAAAACTGTTAAATATTATTTTGTTCATAATTTATACTTTAGATAGAGATATTTAGATAGATATATTTAGACAGAGTTAATGATTTTCGTAATTTTGTATCAGCTTGTTCGAGTTAGAATCGTCAGTTTTATATCTTTTTTTAAAGTTAAATTTAAATGACGAAAAGTGAAATTGAATGAAATTAAACAAATGTGTTCGTTTGACTGATGCAACGTATCGAAGTTTGATTAATACTTCCAAACAAATTTCACCTATGTAACATCAGTATATATGTACATTATATGAGAATTAGTATTCTAAGATTCTATTCCAAGGTGTACAAATAAAATATTAAGTACAGTTCCATTTTATGAAATCTCCCACTTGCTTTCCAAGCTTTCTTTTATCCACCGCTGGTTAATCAAATAATCTTTCTTTCGTGCTTTGCAGAAATATAACAATATCGACTCACCAGATGTAGGTTGCGGTCGGATCTGCTGCACCAGATTGTGAGACTTCTCCGTTAGCTGTCTAACTTGAATGCTCAATTCCTTTCGTTGTCTCTGCAGATCTCCGACCAATTGTTGAACTCTTCTCAACTCGGCTTCAAGGGGGCCAGTCGTGGCCGAAGTGTCTCTAGTCAGATTCCCTGCATATCTTCTCGATGCCTGAAGCTTCTGCCGCAGTACCACCAGGTCTTGTTCCAATCTCGCATTCTCGGCGACCGTCTCCTCAAGTTTCTGTAAGGCAAAGATACGAGGGAGAGTTATATTCGCGCGTCTTTGCGAGGTGGTCGATAAGAAGCTAATGTAAGAACGCCAACGAATAGAAACGGCCAACGAAACGGAAATTTATCTAATTCTGTGCTTTGATTGATTTACCTGGAAGAATACCGGCTTCACCTGGAAACAACGAATCGACGATTAAATCGGGCAAATCAGTTCCACGAGAGAACGAACTGTGCTATTCCCTTCTACTCAAAATGAAGAGCATGACTGAAGCACTAATCCTTTCTTAAAATATGAAGCATATGAGAATTTCGAAAGAGATTAACCTTCTAAACTAAATGAATATTTTGTATGTAGTGCTACTTATATATAAATTACTAAATATAAATATATAATATGAATCAATATTAATAAATTTATAATATTAATATTTATATATATACTAAATATAAATATTTAATATGAATCAATATTAATTTATTAATATCAATAAAATATTAATTATAATACAGAAGTAATTGTGCAAAATGTCTCTCTTTTGTACATCTTAATATTAATGGCAATGAAGAATAATTTACGGGCGAAATTTATAATCATCGATTCAGTTGTGCTCTCCACTGTGTATTCCACAAAAAAAAAGCCCAATCCAATTCGCCAGACTTTCTTTTGAAAAAGGCGAAACGACGAAATCCTGATTACTTTTCACGGGGCGGAAACCACGAGAGAAATTTTCCCCCGTTCTTCGAACAATAGATCGCCGGAACAAGTTCCGACGAAAGAAAACTTCTCGATTGAATTCGTCCCCTCTGTCGTTAAATGGAAATTCGCACAAAACCGATTAAAGTTTCGTCCCGTGCGTGGGAACTTATTCGCGATTAAGCAGCATGTGTTGTTCTTGTCCGAATCGAAGTTTCGTGTACGCAAAAGCACAATAAGTTTTCTTTCCCTAAGCTCAAACCAGTACGATCTATTTTTCGGGCAAAATTTAAGATTAATAATTACATTTGTACTTTATTTGATAATCATTATGAATTATTAAATTCCTGCTCGTAGCTTCTGTAATGAAATTATGATTGTTATTAGTTCTGTGCAAAGATTTTTCTGTCGAGATATATTCACGCTGTTGCCTTCTTTCTCTTTTCTTTTCTTACCATAATTTCAAAATTTAATAAAATGACGAATTTAAAAAATTCATTTAAAGATTCTAAATTTCATTAGAAAACCATCATTGAAAATGAAATCTATCGATTAAATCAACCCCTCCAACTTTTCGATAATCAACTTCTTTTTAATCGCAATTCCGTTAATCGATCAATTAAATGAACAGTTGGAATCGTTTGATGCCCAACTCCTAGTTTAGGCGAAACTTTTCCTCAGATCAATTTTCAACGAGTTTCGCTGATCGGAGACGATCGATTTGTCGCGAGGACTCCAAGAATCTCAAGAATGTTCGAGATATCTTACCTTGGAGTTGTGCGCCAGCAACACTCTCACTCTGCTCAGCTCTTTTTCCAGCAAGAGCTGCTGCTTCCTGTATCTCTCAGCTTCCGCCAAATTGCTCCTACTGCCCTGCAGCTTGTGCCGGAGACCACCCAGTGCTTTCTCCAGTATCTCCTGTAATCGAAATCGAGAAGGTTTAGTTTGCTGAAATGACTGACTTTCCCCCCCTCCTCCTCCTACCCCAAATCGTAAATGGTTCGGATAGCGAGATAAAAATAATTTATCGATCGAACTCGGTCGTTGAACGTTGCGCCAAGATCGACCAGGTTTTATGAAATGTTTGATTTTCAAACACTTCAATTTCGAACTTGTTCAATTCTTTTGTTTCAAAAAAA